CACACACACACAGAGTCTCACACACACACACTCTCACACACACACACACACACACACACACACACAGAGTCTCACACACAGAGTCTCACACACACATCAGAGAGTGTGTGACAGACACAAGAGCATCTCTAAACTTCTTACCGTCACACTCCACACTTGTACAGTCCACCAGCTTTCCTGATTCACATGTGCTGCAGAAAGAAAATACATAATGAATAAATAACACTGTTTTATATTTATATGTTCATATCATATTTATTTATTTTTTTTTTTTAATCATTTATTAGACGCTTTTATCCAAAGCAACTTACAAATGCATATGCATATTTCATATGCAATCTCATTAAATGCATAATTTAAAATAATTACCAATAATTATTAGTATTATTTTTAATATTATATTATATTATTAATAATATAAATATATATTTTATTAATATTATTTTTATGTATAATTTTTTTATTAATAATTATTATTATTGAAAATTATAAAATATATCGTCTTTTTAAGGCTTTTCTGTTAAATAAAAAATAATAATTAAAAACTTTCACTAAAATATATTGACATTTTATATGTATTCTTATGTGTTACTGTTAAATGCATTAAAAATAATTAATTATTAAGAAAGAATAATATTATAGGATAAAATTATATCGCTTATGTTTTCAAAGTTTTTAAGACTTTCAGTAATTAAAAAAAATATTCTACCAATTAAATATATTAACATTTTACATTTAAAAAATACTTATATGCTCATATAGGCATTACTGGTAAATACATGTTAAAATTATTATTAATTTATAAATAATAAAATATATCGCTTATGTTATAATCTATCTATAATTTAGTGCCATGTTGTTACCAGTTGTTGCAGTTTTTGGTGACTGTGGCTCCGGGTTTGTGCTGCTCTCCATCAACATGGCAGCGACAGAGCGACAGAGACACACACTCGCCATCCTGAAACACACACACACACACACAAATGACAGGTATACACTCACAGACTCTTCACAGACATAATCAGATATACACATACACACACACCTGTAGGGCCGACCCATCAGGACACTGGCACCCAGGCAGACAGCTGGTGTTTCTCTGGACCTCCGTCCCCAAATCTGAGCACAGCAGCTCCTCTCTCACACATGCGACCCACTCCTGACCTTCTGTACAAGCGCTTCCATTCCCTGAGATCACACACACAGACAGAAATGATGAGGTTCCAGGGCTCCTTATGCCAAAAATCATTAGGATATTTAGTAAAGATCATGTTCTTACAATGTTTTTCCAAAACTCTCAAATCGTGCAGTGCACTGGAAAGTTTCAGGAGTAACAACCACATTCAAATGCAGGTAAATACATGTTAAAATTATTATTAATTTAAAAATAATAAAATATATCACTTATGTTATAATCTATCTATAATTTAGTGCCATGTTGTTACCAGTTGTTGCAGTTTTTGGTGACTGTGGCTCCGGGTTTGTGCTGCTCTCCATCAACATGACAGCGACAGAGCAACAGAGACACACACTCGCCATCCTGAAACACACACACACACACACAAATGACAGGTATACACTCACAGGCTCTTCACAGACATAATCAGATATACACATACACACACACCTGTAGGGCCGACCCATCGGGACACTGGCACCCAGGCAGACAGCTGGTGTTTCTCTGGACCTCCGTCCCCAAATCTGAGCACAGCAGCTCCTCTCTCACACATGCGACCCACTCCTGACCTTCTGTACAAGCGCTTCCATTCCCTGAGATCACACACACAGACAGAAATGATGAGGTTCCAGGGCTCAGCTCACACAAACACACACGTGTGCGTCACTGACCGCAGGGCTGCAGGTTACAGGCGCTGAACTGCTGAGGCGTCCCGTGAGTCCTGACCGGACCTCTGGTTCTGCTCCTGTATCCTCCACCGCAGGGAACCGAACACTCGGACCACGGGCTCCACGGGCCCTTCACTCCTGAACACAGAGACCACAATGATCACATGCACAGTCACTTCACAGGGTCAGACCTCCTGGATAGAGGCTCATGATTTTCTGTTTTATAGGCCTTGAGTGGTTTGAACCATATTTTGGAATAAATCAGTGACGCCTCATAATTATTCATTAATTATTAGTATAATTATTCATTATTCATGTATTCTCCAATTGTTAGTCTCTTTGGATAAAGTAAATGTAAGGTGTGGCTTCACTCTGCAAAATTTGCGTCATAAACATTCATACAAACACAAACAGTTCTGCATTTTTATTAATGCATTAAAATACAGAATGGCACCTAGCAAACAGGCCTTAACACTTAGCTTTTCTATTTATTTATGTATTTTTTCATTATTTTATATCTATATTTTTTATTTTATATTTATTTTAATTTAGTAACATATATACAATTTATTATTTAATTTCAATCATTTATTTTATATACAGTATAAATTTTGTTTTGCGTTAGAAATTGTATATAATTTTTTTTGCATTATATGCATAAATATCATGTATGTTATTGTTACATGTATGCTGCACTATTATAGCTTTCAATAATATTTTGCATTAGTTTTCATTTTAACATTTTCAATTTTTAATTTTAGTTAAAGTTTTAGTAAATCTGTTGCTTTTGTCAATTGTATTTTTTTAAATATGTCCATAAAGTTTTTTTTTAATATATTTTTTATTTTATTAAAAAAAAAATAATAATAATCTTTTTATTGCAAATATATTTGTGTGTCTAATTGTAAATTGCTGTGTGCCATTAAAGCTTTTATGATGTTATTGACCTGCGTTGAACTCTTAATCGCAGAAAGTCTTTGTCATGTGTTGTCATGGGGTCACTGTACCGAAACAAGGTGTAATGCTGCATGTGTCCAGTCCGATGCGCTCGCCCTCACACGCACGGCCACCAAACGCCGGCGCTGGATCGGTTCCTGAACGATAGCGGCGTCTGATGCCCACGTCACATGTGCGACTGCATGCGCTCCAGGCCGTCCACTCACTCCACCCACAATCCACTGCAGAGGAGGAGAAGGAATGAAAGCAGATGGAAATACCCTTCCCAGCCTATAGGTAGATGAAAAACAGATATGGTGCAGAGGGTGTGATTGTGTGATCCTCACCAGGGCAGGGTGCTGTTCCACACTGCATCTCTCCATTAACACACGTGCTGTGAGCAAACACAAGAGACTGTCAGACGAAATCCACAGGGAAGCTGAATATACATGTCACACGAAAAGTGATCAACTATTATCATTATCATAACTTGACAGCACTGGAAAATCTCAAGGGTGGTTGACATGTTACTGTAATATTATAGCAGTATTATGTAGTATCACACTATAATTAATTCAAGACCATTTAAAATATAGGCTTTTTTTTTATTATATATATGACATTTTTTTACTTTTAAAAATGCATTGACTATTTAAGTGAATATTTAAGCATTCAAAAATGTATTGAATTCAAAATTAGACAAATCTTGTTGAAAAAAGGGTCAAAGGTCAAAAAAGTGAGTTTTTGCACAACAAGGCTGCATTTATTTGCTCAAAAATACAGTATAAATTGTGATATATTATTACAATTTAAAATAGCTGTTTTCTATGTGAATCTATGTTAAACTGTAATGTATTTCTGTGATGCACAGCTGTATTTTCAGCATCATTACTCCAGTCTTCAGTGTCACATGATCTTCAGAAATCAGTATAATATGCTGATTTTCTACTCGAGAAACATTTCTGATTATTATCAATGTCGAAAACAGTTGTGCTGCCCGATATTTTTGTGGAAACCGTGATACGTTTTATTCACAGATGAATAGAAAGTTGCATTTATTTGAAACAGAAATAATCTGTAACATTATAAATGTCACTTTTGATCAATTAAATGCATCCTTGCTGAATAAAAATATGAATTTAAAGTAGGTTACCAGTTGTTACAGCTGTCGTCGGGCACGCTGTCTCCCTGCATGTACAGCGCCCCCTTATGGTAACACGGGCAGCGGTAGAGAGGCACACAGGTGTTATTGCAGAAATAATCTGTAACATTATAAATGTCCCTTTTGATCAATTAAATGCATCCTTGCTGAATAAAAATATGAATTTAAGTAGGTTACCAGTTGTTACAGCTGTCGTCGGGCACGCTGTCTCCCTGCATGTACAGCGCCCCCTTATGGTAACACGGGCAGCGGTAGAGAGGCACACAGGTGTTATTGAACAGATAGAAACCAGGAGAGCAGTAACAGCCATCATAACACTCGGTGGCACACTCCACATCCGCCGTGGCATCCAGACACACTCGAGGACACGCGCCGCCCTGAGCCTCGCACTGAGCCTTAGACAGGAAGCTCATGCCGTCTGGACACACACCTGCAGCACACACACACACACACACACACACACCAGTCAAACACGCACATCAGCAGAAGCTATGCAGAGGCTCCAGCAGGTTTAATAGCGTGATTTACCAGAGCAGGGCTGGACGTTGCAGTCTCGTGTCTGTATGTGCGGCCCGGGACAGCCGAGGCCTTCGTACAGCGGCGGAGGAGAACTACAGAAGCGCTCTCTCGTCTGAACACCAGAGTCACACTCAGACGAACACACAGACCAGCTCGACCAGGACGACCAGCCTCCGTTCACTAGTGTCACACCAGAGACAAACTATCACAGAAACTGCAGCGCTTGAGCTTGTAAATGTATAGAGGATTTTTTTGTTTGTTTGTTTTTTTTAATGGACAAAAATTGTGAATTTCGTATTTGTTTCCACTGTAATAAAGATTTTTATTTGGTAATACTGCAGGTATTATTTATTTTGTATTATCAATTATTTTATTTTGATTCATTCAGTCAAACACACACATCAGCAGAAGCTATGCAGAGGCTCCAGCAGGTTTAATAGCGTGATTTACCAGAGCAGGGCTGGACGTTGCAGTCTCGTGTCTGTATGTGCGGCCCGGAACAGCCGAGGCCTTCGTACAGCGGCGGAGGAGAACTACAGAAGCGCTCTCTCGTCTGAACACCAGAGTCACACTCAGACGAACACACAGACCAGCTCGACCAGGACGACCAGCCGCCGTTCACTAGTGTCACACCAGAGACAAACTATCACAGAAACTGCAGCGCTTGAGCTTGTAAATGTATAGAGGATTTTTTTGTTTGTTTGTTTTTTTTAATGGACAAAAATTGTGAATTTCGTATTTGTTTCCACTGTAATAAAGATTTTTATTTGGTAATACTGCAGGTATTATTTATTTTGTATTATCAATTATTTTATTTTGATTCATTTTAGTTTTATAATTTCTTAATGTGAATTAGCTTTTATCTTTATGTTTTTTATACTACACAATTTTAATTTTAGTTATATTTTTAACAGTTTTGTATGTGTTGGTCATTTTTAGTTTTTAATTATTACTATTTAGGTCTAATTTATTTTTATTTTAGCTTTAGTTTTAGTTCAGTTTTCATTTTAATTTAGGTTACATTTTTAGATATTTTTGTATGTGCTTTTGTAATTTTTATTAGTTTTTTATACTACTATTTATATTTAATTTATTTTAATTTCAGTTTTAGTTTAGCTTTCACTTTAATTTTAGTAACATTTTTAGCAATTTTGTTGTGTGCTTTTGTCATTTTTGTTAGTTATTTTAGAAGTTTTTCTATCATTTAATTTTAAGGTCTAGTTTTAGTTCTAAAACTGTTTTGTTAATATTATTTTCAGTTTTAATTTTAGTGCTTCAATGAAAATTGCAAATGTTGCTTTGAAAACTAACTGTTGATAATTAATAATAATAATAACTGTTAATAATAAGCTATATATTATATATTATTAATATTTATATTTCATTTGATTGTTTGTTTTTAGGTTTACTTAAATTACCATATTAGAATAATGTTTAGGTAAAATTTGCCTTTACTCTGAAATAAAAAAATAGACTTTATCAACATATTTGGTCTTTAAAAAAAATGTTATTTAGTTTTTATTTATTGTTTAAATTTGAAAGAAAATATTGTGATATGGTGAAATGTCAACTCATCAAAAGCTCTATGAATTTTACTGTACATTTCTGCCATATGGACATCAACTTGACATGGTCACCGCTGATAAGCTACTACTTTAACTTAACTTTAAAATAGAAACTTGCATTTTCTGTAAAGCTGCTTTGCAATGGTTTGTATCGTGAAAAGCGCTATACAAATAAGCTCGAACTGAACTGAACTGTATGCATCTTTGCAACTAAGAGCAAATGAGCAAGTCTAATTTCCAATGCTATAATGAAGTGTGTTTTGAGATGTACCGGGGCAGTGGATGGTGTTGCACGGCTCGTGTTCTTCTGCCTCTCCTCCACAGGAGGCGCCGGTGAGTGTGTGATTACAGCTCCTGAAGCGCCGCCTCAGTCCCACGGCGTCCACATGATGAAAACACGTCTTACTGCACTCGGACCACAGCGTCCACTCGCTCCACGACACTCCCTCAGGACCTGCACACCTCACAGTCATCATCTGCACTAAAACTAGTGTTACACGCTAACAGTTTGATTTGAGGTTACCCTCCGAGCAGGACGAGTAGCACCGACGGGCTTCAGTAGAGTCTCCTTCACACGGCTCCACATTCACCACTCCCACTGGACTCAGAGGAGATCTGTGGAGAAACGGCATATAGAGGACTTATATAATCATTCAAAATATCAATACAAATGTATTTTTCAATGTAATAAAACATGTTTTCCTGCTGGTTTTTACATGCATAAAAAACACTGCACATTATAACTTTACTAAATGGTTCATGAACCAGTCAGTCCACCTGTAACGGTGCTCTATTCCTGTCCCACAGCTGCTGTCACATGACGTCCATGAAGACCAGGCCGACCAATCACAGCGAGCGACACAGCTGGATTCATCACAGGTGACACGACCTTCTTTACACACACTGTGTGATTGGATCAAACATCACGACATGCATTTACAGCATTAAACACGGCCAGATCATCAGAAGAACAGCTCAGCAATCAATTGAATCTACTGACCATGTGCTGCAGCTGCCGTTACTGACGTCCTGACCAGGCCGGATGACCGAACCTTCCCATAAACACTCACATTGACTGGCACTGACACAACGGCCCTCTTGCAGGAAGAGCCCATGAGGACAACGACATCCTAACCAACAAAAGATCAAACATATATACATAAATCATATATTATCACTTCTCTTTTGGCCTTTCTCTTTGTAATAATTATTAATTATTTTTAAAATAGCTTATTAAATATTATTAAAATAAGAAATTGTATTAATTATTTATCATTATTAAAATGCAATTAATCAAATGCAATCAAAAATCAATTAATCAAAATGGCATTTTATCAAAATGTATTATTATTATTATTTTTATGAATTTATTGAAATGATTTATGAAATATTAAAATAATACATTTAATGTAATAAATTGTAATAATTATTAATAATAATCATTTCCTTTTCAAATAACTATATTTCTATACTCTAAAATATATATTTATTATTATCATATAGAATTATTAATATTATTAAAATAAAACAATACAAATAAAATGTAAAAAAAAAAAAATTTTTTTATTTATTTTATAAATATACTAGGTCTGCATATCTGTATTGATAATTTACATCAATATATAAATCATTTGAGATACAATAATAGAGGACAATATATAAAATCTAAAAAACTGATTAATTGTAATAAATAATTTTCATATTAACAGCCTTAAAAAGGAGGTGAGGTTGTACCTGTAGTGCAGTTTAAGGAGCAGTTCCTCTCAGAATGAAGGTCAGAGCAGGTCACGGGACACGGCTCGATTTTTCCAGCCAAACAATCCGACTCCTCCACCAGGATCATCCCTCCAGTGCAGCCTGCAGCAAACAACCTCGTTCAACAAGAGCATGCAATAAACTACAAATAATAGCCTACATTTCAGAATGAGGACTGTTGCACTATAGCAAAATATAACTGCACGCAACAGTCATGCATGCTTTTTAAACCACCGTGCAGCACGTGCAGCGCTCACCGCTCTGTGTGTCTGTGTTCGGGCCGCAGGTCTGCGTGTTACACGTGTGTGTTTGTCTGCTCATCCCCTCACAGTCTCTCCCACCGTTTTTGTGCGGAGGGTTCGAGCAGGTCCTGTTCCTCACCATCAGTCCTCCACCACACGGGACGTCACAACCGGACCACTGCGTCCACTCTGACCACTGACCGTCCACTGAGAATTCATAAGAGAAAACAATGAGCCTCGAATCCGAGCGTTACAGTGATTTTACTGCGGTTAAGGGAGGTTTTCAGAGATATGAGCACATTCAGCTCAGTTTGGACCCAGAAGAGGTACTTTAAAAAAAATCAAATTTGATGAAATGAAAACAAAAATGGGTTAAGACTGTCAAAATGCACATCTTTTTTTTAGAAATAATAATAAAAATAATAATGAAATTTAATACTGAAATAATCTATTGAATATTATTAAAATATTTAAAATTATATCCTTTTCAACTGACTATAATTTAACATGTATATTATTATTAATATTACTAGAACTTTTATTTATTGTTATTAAATACCTGGAAAAGGTATGTATAACATATAATAATAATATATTATTATAATATATGTAGCCTCTTTCCCATATTTCTCACACACTTTTAGAATTGAATTTTAGTGATACGCATGAATACACACACACACACACAAAACACACAAAACACACATAACAAATATAAGTGACATAACAAATAAACTATTTAAAAAACGTACAATAAAAAATATTTTTTAAAAATGAGAAAAATTAAAGTCCACATTTCACTTTGCATATTGATGATCCCGCATGAAAAAAATAATCATCTTTTTCATCTGGAAGCCATGGTTTTTGCAAGTCAAATGAATATATTTTGTTTAAAAAAATTCCATGGTAACATTTATGTTGTTTTGTAAAAAAAAAATTGCGCATACATGTTTCATAAATTATGACTGTTTTTCAGTTACGAGTTCAAAGGAGTTTATTTCAATTCATTTCAGTAATTAAATATGCTAACTATGGCAATTCTCAGATTATTTGTTTTTTATAAACTTCATATAATGATATATTCAAATATACATTTTTCATGCACATATGCAATATTTTTTTCTTGCATTGCTATAGTTCATGTATAACTTGTAATTCCAAAAATGTCTTACTTTTATTATTAATAGAAAACCGGGTAACTGTAGTAATAACACAATAACATTCAAAACTTTGAAATGTTTGCAAATTCACTCACTGATGAGAAAATCTGGTTTCAGCTGAAAAGTCTTTTAATTCTGACTGTTCTATAATATTATGTCGAATGCAAAAACAGTATGCAGGTTTTGAATGCATTATGAGTGTTAATACAGAAACATGTTTGTACCAGGACAGGCCTGCAGGAAACATGCGCGGCTGTCGAACTGAGCGCCGCCGCAGGATCCGCCCGACCGGGCGTCTCTCAGGATGTTCCTCTGGCGGAAAAGTGACCCCAGACCACACGACACGCTGCACTGACTCCAGGACGTCCAGGGAGACAGAATACAGTCGACTGCAGGACACAAACAGACCTCTCAATCCCACAATGCACCTGACCTGAGATCAGCTCACACATAAGCATCTGAGATGTGTGTTTCTGGACTCACAGCAGTCGCTCTCGTCCGAGCCGTCAGCACAGTCTCTGCGCAGGTCACATCTCTTCTCCAAACTCACACACTCGCCGCTCCAGCAGCTGAACTGTTTGGAGGAGCAGAGTTTGGGCAGCAGGGGGCGCTGAGAGGGTGTGACGGACCCTGAGGGCCGAGATTAGTGTTATTCATGTTTCTGTGATTGAGACTATTATAAGAAGAATATTTATTAAAGAACATTATAAATGGTCAATGAATGGTTTTAATATGTGTTAGGAGAGTCAACAACACTATTAAAAATAACACATGTATTCATTTAGTAGATGCATTTTCAGCTTGGCCTTTACTGGTTCATAAAAAATAAAATAAAATAAAATAAAATGCATTACAAAAAGTGTTGTGAGTGTAAAATGTGAAAAACAATTCAAATGAAACAATACATGATAAATAAAGCAAATATTTGCTTTTAATTCTAAAAACTAAAAAAAATAAGTTTAAGGTTAGTATAACTACATAAACAAATCAGACAGTTTATAAAAACATTTTTAACAACGTACTGAATCCCCTGAATAATTGTAACAGTGTTGAAAAATAATTAAAAATCATTTTCAGTAAATGAAATTAAACTGAAATATACATATTAAATTAAAAACTTTATGCTGGAGTACTAAATTTGAAAATAAAAATAAATAAAAAATATTAAAAATGATGAACTATTAAAATAACCCCAAAATTAATATAAATTACAAATGCACAAAACAAAATTACTAAAACAAAATTAGAATGAAAACTGAAAATACAAAAATAAAAGCTAATTCAAAATATTAATAAATATGATAAAAGTACATAAATACTAAAATAATGTGTCACATTTGTATATTAAGTGAAATGCTGTTGTTTGTTGTTGATGCTTGACCTTGTCTGTAGAAATCAGGATGTTTTATTTCTGCATATGTGGTAGAAATGCATCTAATGCTGTTACCTTAATTGACATCCTCACTGTTTTTGTGCAAGATAAATAATATCCTGCATGCGAAAATAAATGATATCACAGTTCTGACAGCTCATTATTTAAAAAGATAAAGCTCTTAAATAACTTCAAGATAATTAGCTAGTACTTTTTAGTACACATACTGGTAAAAAATGTATAGCCTGAATGCACTGTAAGTTGCTTTGGATAAAAGCGTCTGCTAAATGCATAAATTATTATTATTATTACTTTTTCAGAAGGGCAACCTGACTGTAATTTAACTGCTCCAGTTATGATTAGCAGCTTCTATGCAGCTTCCTCAACACTGCTGGCATGTAATTATCAAAATAAATGTTTTATTTGTACCACAGCGATCTTCATCGGATCCGTCGGGACAGTCCTCACGGCCGTCACACACAAGAGCAGCTTCCACACAACCGAACGTCCTGCAGGCGAACTGTCCTTCCACGCACACAACTCTGGGTAAGCCATCATCAGGGGGTGTAGATGTATCCCAGAATCCTTTAAAAATGGATCACAGTATTTTGAAAGCATTTACTATTGTTATACCCCAGCACCTGCTGTGTCAAACACACAAACACACACCTGTCGTGTTGAAGAAGGGTGTAGGCGTCAGAACATGAACGCCCGGTTCTCCCGTCGGACCGACCGCAGGTGGCGCTGTGGTGATGTGGGTCGGTGGAGCCACTCCTGGGCTGCCGTCCTGTGGACTGGTGGTGTGAAGTCCGGGACGTCCAGTGGTGGAGTTATAGTGACCAGGATGTCCCGTTGGGCCGGTGTGGGTCTGTAATCCTGGTACACCAGGTGGCGCTGTGGTCACTTCACTCCTGGGTGTGACCAACTCATCTGAACAGAACAATGACAATAATAACTCTGTTAGTTGCAACCTATTTTTTCTTCTTCTGAGGTTGATATAATAGATTACATATATTACACATTGCATCATATAATGCTTAAAGAAAATGCTAAAAAAGGTTATTTTCTAGGACCATTAACGTTGTTTAAAATGTATTAATTACAGTTTTTTTTCAACTGCTTACACACATTTTCAAAACTTTGCCTCTTTTTTTTTTTTTTACTTTACACACAAATCCAAGAATTGCACGCATGAATCAGTGTATGGTTTTGCAGATTTGGTGTGTGGTTCTGGTGTTTGAGTGTCAGCTTTCAGAAATTGTGTGACAAGTAAAGATTTTGTGTGTAAGCAGTTGAAAAAAACTGTAATAAATTATATTTCATGCATAGATCATAGAATTAATTAACATTTGCTATTTTTATTTAAAATATACAAAAATAATTATATTATTTAAAAATATAATTAAAAATTGCATTAAAGTCATGGGAAGTTTTTTGTTTTGTTTTGTTTTTTATTATGGCATAATAATAATATACTTTTTTTTAATGGCATTTTGGATTATGGCAAAGTTATTATTGGTAACTAAAACTAACACCATAAACACCAATGTTTGTTACATGATAAATGATCTATAACTGAAATAAAGTATTTAAAAAAATTAAACATTTCTCATTTTCGTTTAGTTTAACTTGAAGTACCAAAATAAATAAAATTTAAATTGGAACAAAAAATTATAATTTAGAGAGAGAGTGAGAGAAAGAGAAAGAGAGAGAGAGGTATGGATATTTAAAAAAAAACAGTAAAAACGACAAAAACATAACAAAATAACTAAAATTGTAACTAAAATAAAAAATAATTAAAAAAAAAAAATCATAAAAACTATAATAGTATACCAGTAATACTAAAATAACTTTGCATTATGGAAATGTTTGGGATTTTAATGTGTTTAATTGTCATGATAATGTCAATGTAACAATGTAAAAAAACAAAAACAAAAAGTAATTGTCATTAAAATATGATTCAACGTTTTTATGTAAAATCCATTTTTTCTGTTGTTTTTAATGCGGTATGAATTATGACCTGGTCACTTGATTCACCCAGGTAATGAAAACTAAAAGGAAACACCAGCAGGCAGCAGTTGTACCTCCTCTACAACCCAGCACCTCCACACGGAGGTAGAAAGTGTGGCGAAACTCTACAGGAATGATCCGGAGAAACCGAGCTCGGACCAATCTGTCCAACCAGCGTGTGACGGGCGTCCGGCTGACCATCCTCACCTCAAATATCTGACACGGACACAACAACACACTTCATTTACACATCCAACTTTCATTTGAACCAGCACAGCTCAATCCCAATGGCAAATTCATGTGTTTGATTACCTTCGGAGGAGAGCCTCTGTCTCCAGTCTCAGTGAAGTTGATGAAGTGGTTCTCCACTAAAGCGAAGGCCAGTCTGTATTTGCTCAGGTATCCCCACATGCGTTCACTGCCCTGCGTCACCACACCTGAAATCCATGTGGGCTCCAGGAAATCCACCTGGAAGTACGGATGAGGGTCTCCAGGTAACGGACTCCATCCGGGCTCCATCACCATCCTGAGAAGCACCGAAACAAACAAATGTCATCAAAGGCATCATGTCACATGTTGTGGTTGATCTTGTTTATTCTATTTGCAAGATGAGATGATAGTCATATTTTCTTCATTTGTGCATTCATACGTTTATAACCTTAATTCATCATAAAACGCTCACACATTGGGTACGACGTTGAGCCGGCCTGCGTCTGCAGGATTATTCTCTCTGTATGAGGACGAGGTCAGCTGACCATAATGGACACGGCCATCCTCCAATCCCAGAGCAGAAGAACAGACACCTGATGCGTGACAGACAGGTGAGAGTCAGGTAAGGTTATTACAGTTAACTAATAGCATTAAAAAAAAATTTGTTACTTGAAAAAATGTTAACTGGACATTTTATTTCAGCTAGTGGTCAAGGCAAGATTTCTCATTTAGTTCTCATTTAGTTTACCTTGATGTACTAAAATAACTACAAATAAAATATTAATTAATTAAAATGTATAGACGTTTTTTTATGATAACACACAAGAAAATGAGTAAAACTGTCACTAAAATTAAACTGAAAAAAGAGAGAGAGAAAAAATCTAATTCAGAATATTAACAAAAACTATAATAATATATCATATGAGCTCCTACCTTTCTGACCAGGTCCTCCTTCCTAGGAAATGCAAAGAAAAAAATAGTTTAAAATTTAATTCCAGGATTAATTACAATTACTGTGTATCTGATATACAACTAATAAACATTAATATCAAAAACACATTTCAATAAAACACAACTATAACCAATCTTCTGGACAGCAGAGTCACAATAGTACTACTTAAGCTCTAGCAACACCATTTGTGCATTATTATATGAAAGAAAATGAGGCATATTTAATAAATGTAATATTAAATATTTTGCATTATAACAGAGTTTGTTTAGCTTTATACATTTTAATATTATAATAATTTTTTAAGTGATATGGCTATACTTTTGGGTTGGGCATGTCATTGTCAGATTTGCTTTAACTGTGATTCTAGTTAACATGTTAATAGGTTAAGTCTCACAGTGGTGGTCAGGGCACTCTGAGTGGTCACGGGTTTCTTGCTGGGCGTCCGGAGAGGGGCGGCGGTGGGGGTGACGTGGGTAATATTTGTGTGTGTGCAGTCTCTCTCATCCGCTCCATCAGGACAGTGAGGGACTCCATCACAGCGGCGCTGCGCCTCAATGCAGCCTCCTGGAGGAGGACAGGAGAACTGACCCGACGGGCAGACCGCCGGCCTTCTGGTAGGAGCGGGACGAGTTCCTGAACATAAAATAAATATTTCGTTTATAACTAAATAAAGTGTTCAGCAAGAAAAAAAAGCACGGAAAAACTGAAGCCTATTTTTAGGATGAATAAGAGTTTTGCACTGTGACATTATTTATATTTTTTACCTTCAAGTTCCAATTCATTTTTGTAATTCTCATTATTTTTAATGGCGATTTTCATTTTAAATAAATGCATTAGTGACATGCAGTATTTGTTGTTATTTCTTATTTAAATCTGTAAAATCTGATGCAATTTCTTTTTGTTTTGGTTCTGGGGTTAAATGTATTATAATAATTAATGATATATTTTCAAGCTTTATAAAACACTAAATCAAGGCCTTTTTTATCCCCTTTTTGTCCAGCAGATTAAGTCTGGGTCTATGCCCACCACTGATATTTAATAATATCATTAATATAACATTATACAATTTTTTAATTCGTTTTTTTTATTTCAATTAAAGTTTTAGTAATTTTGTTGTTTTGTCATTTTTTAAATGGTTTTTGTCAAAAATAGTTTATTTATTTTTATTTTCCGTTTCATTTTTAGTAATTTCATTTTATTTTATTTTATTACACCAACTAAAGTAAATAAAAATGGCAACTAAAATAAGTGAAGCTATTATTTCATTCAAATTATCATCGATTTTTAAGAATATTTTTGTTGTAGTTAATGATAGTAACACTGGTACCCACCGCAGTTGAACTCATCTGTCCCGTCGCCACAGTCGTCGATCCCGTCACACAGTGCCCCCCGTGGACCAGCAGGAACACAGCGGCCGTTACCGCAGAGGAACTCGCTTTCTCTACAGGGACGTAGCGGCGGGGTGGGAGTTGACCACTCATGCTCTGATGGGAATGAGAGTCAGAGAATTTTAGATGGACATTAGGGCTATTCACTTGCTGTTCTGACACCTACAATGCAATGGAGAGGGAAACTAAAGATACCATCAGCACAGCCCATGACTTCGACTCTCAGATAGATTCCATTCTGAAAATCATGAGGCAGAATTCGTACAAAGCGAGCCGACACCATCCGGTCCAGACGGGCCAAAGCTACGCCACGGTCATCACGGTTTCCCTGAAACACCTGGAAGAGACATTCAGAAAAACAAAATATAAATACTTATTTCTTAAAGGTGCAGTATATAATATTGACTAGTGGTTGAAATGGGTACTGCAATACAAATTCAAAATACTTTAATACAAAATTACACAAAATATTTTTCCATCTTTGAGAAGGCAGCCGCAGCCAACAGAAAAAAAGTAAATGTTTCTATTTTGCTGCATGTAGTGTTTAAGTGAGACATGAATCGAAGTGTTAGATGAGATTTTGTCTGTTGTTGATGTTGGGTGATTGTGTGTCACCTTAGCTTTGGGTCTGGCGTCTGTGATCAGTTCTTTATAAGTGAACCACTGATGTCCGTCGCTGCTGAATTGCAGATAGAAGCTGGAAACAAACGTGTCAAACACGCCGCCACCCTGCGTCAACACGCCTGCAACACCACAAACAAACAACACATTACATTTATTTAGCTTTATTATGAAAAGCAAAGTGTCACTGTTATGGTCTTGCATTACCCATATTTCAGGACCAGAAAAACACAGACAAAGCAACCACTGAGTACAACCTAGCAACTGCCAAGCAACACCCTAGCAACCACCCAGAGAACTCTACAAAATGCCTAGCATCACCCCAGCAACCACACAACAATGCCCTAGTAACTACCCATAAAACCCTATCAACCGCCTAGCAATGCCCTAGCAACCATCCAGAATTCCCTAGAAACTGCCAAGCAACCACACAGCAACGCCCTAGCAACCACCCTGATAATCCTAGTAAACTGACTGACATTTCCCTTGTAATAAGCCAGCACAACCTAGAAACCACACAGCAAAGCCCCAGCAAGCACCCAGAACACCCTAGAAACGGTCTAGTAACCACATAGCAACACCCTAGCAGCTTCCTAGTAACTGCCTAGCAACCTCCTAGTAACAACATAGCAAAACCCTAGCAACCACCCTGAACACCCTAGCAACTGCCTAGTAACCACATAGCAACTTCCTAGTAACTGCCTAGCAACCTCCTAGTAACAACATAGCAAAACCCTAGCAACCACCCTGAACACCGAAGCAACCGCCTAGTAACCACATAGAAACACCCTAGCAACCGCCTAGTAACCACATAGCAACACCCTAGCAATCACCCAAAACACCCAAGCAACTCTATAGGAACTGACTAACAACCTCCTAGTAACCAAATAGCAAAACCCTAGAAACCACCGTGAACACCCTAGCAACCACCTAGTAACACCACAGCAACACCCTAGCAACCACACAACAATGTCCTAGCAATCACCCAAAACACCCAAGCAACTCCCTAGTAACTGTCTAGCAACCTCCTTGTAACCACATAGCAAAATCCTAGCAACCACCCTGAACACCCCACAGTAGCAACCTCCAAGTAACCACATAGCAACACCCTAGCAACCACCCTGAACACCCTAGAAACCGCCTAGTAACCACATAGCAACACCCTAGCAACCACAGTGAACACTCTAGCAGAAGCCTAGCGCTGACTGTTGCCACAGCAAGCACCACCCACAATTTACCACAGAAAATGTACTCATTATTATAATTATTAACAGTTTTTGAAGACTATAACTTGTAAATGCATTGGACATTTAAATATACAGCACTGTTATGTCACTAAAGTACAGTAAAATTCAAATCGATGTGAACTATATCATTTTCAAATATCATCAGCATTCTAACGGACCTCAGCTTCAGTGAACAGCAGACTCTTTGACTATATGTTCTTAAATGAGCTGTTGTTTGTGACCTGTGATGTTGTAGTGTCTGAGCAGGTCTATCTGGAGGTACGGCCCGCGTGACGAGTGTCTGTGCTCCTCAGGGGTCCCGGCCGGGAGCTCTCTGTACTCCTCTGGCTCCGGGCTCCAGCCCTGCAGGTCGCTGTGGGGGTCCCGAGCGTGCAGACGTCCCGCTGACGGAGGGTGACCGGGTTGATGGGACGAGGCGCTGAAGCTGCTGGCAGGGAGCGAGAGAACGCCCAGAGCGGACCAACACTCATCTATAAAACAACACACAGAATACAGTATGTGAAAATAGAGCGTTAGAAATGACTCGGACGCATCAAAGACTAAATCAATAAATAAACACTAAATAAATAAACATAATAAAACATCTTTATATTATACAATATACATGAATAATACTTCACATAATTATTACTGCATTTAAAGAGTTTTCAAAATAAAAATGTGTATTTGCAAGTGATTTATAGTAGTTTTCTTGACTATGTGCATTAAAAATGACAGTTCTGCTCACAAATTTATAGAATTACCCTTGCAGAATCTCTGAAAATGATAATTATTTTAACAAAATTAGAGGAATCATAAACATTGCATTTTTTTAATTTAATGCCGTCCTGGATAAGCTGTTTCACATAACAGATATTTACATATACTGTAGTTCACGCGGCAAATTAATAGCTGAATTTATAAAAAATATCTGTTCAAAAGTTTATTTATCTTTGATTCTTAATACTGTGTCTTTACATTAGAATGATTCACGACTATTTTTCTGTTTTGTGATGGTTGTTCATGAGTCTAAAGAAGCCTGTTTCTGCCACTGAATAAAAAATAAAAAAGATAATTACGACGACTTCTATCACAATTCTGACTTTTTTCTCAAGCTATAAAGTCGGAATTGTGAAAAAGAACTGGACTTTATAACTCACAATTGTGGGTTTATATCTCACAATCGTGAGAAAAGAAGTCAGAATTGTCAGATGTACACTCGCACCTGTGAGAAAAAAAATTGTGTTTTTGTGTAATTTAGATGGAAAATGTTTGCCTTTTTATAGTACGAGTCACTTATCAAAAGTTGCTAAAAGTTGTCAAATAAATTTTTAAAATAGCTAAATTTGTTGCTTGGTGCTTTTGGAACAAACAGTTGCTAGGGTAGTCTGAAAAGTTGCTAAATGTAGCAACAAAATTTCTAAGTTGGCAACACTAGTACTGATGTGTGTTTGAATGAAACGGACCTGCAGGTGGCAGAGGGTACGTCGGGACGGTCGGAGGGCCCTCTGGTGGGGTGGAGGGTCCGAGTGTTATTGGCAGGATCATTGGTGTAGTCGTCATAATAGTGCTGCCATTACCTGACAACACAACACAGCAGACTTCTGCATGAACAACAGCGCATTCTGACTGCATGATCAATCTAGTGTTATTATGAATACAAAAAACACAAGTATAAAATAATAACTATGACAAATATGTCAAACCTTTTTCTTCACAATAGCAACACTTGTCTCCTTCCCCTGGAATCAGAATACGACCCTGAAACGGAGAAAAAATGTTACCCAGTTAAACCTGAACATGCAATATAATGTTTATAATGAGGTCCCATTAGTTAATGTTAGTTATAGCATTAACAAAGCTCAAGCTATTTGTTATAGTCTTTATTAATCTTTGTAAGTTAATAAAAATACAACTATTATTTCACTTTAGCTCAGGTCCATTAAATAATATTAAAATACACAACTTTTGATTTTAGTGATGCATTAGAAATTGTTGCAATTGCCATTAACTAAGATTAATGAATGTTTTAGAAGTATTTTTCACTGTTAATTAAAGAATTAACTTAGGTTAACAAATGGAACCTTATTAAAAAGTGTTACCGCAATAGCTATAAATTTAATGCAAAAAAAAAAACTAAAATCAAATTGTCATTTGATTTCTGTGTTTTGTGGTGTAACTGAACAAATTAGTTCACATTCATTTATAAAAAACAGCCTGTTTCAGAGTAATAAACAGAAAAATAACAATATTGACATAGAAAAATTTATTAATTATGAAATAAATACAATTTCAGGAATGAGGCAATAATTTAACGATCAAGAAATTTATATTAAAATAATAATTACATTTAAATAACATATTTTCATGTTGATGGTTCTCTGATGACAGTTCATGTTCAAATGATATGCAGGTAAACAAATAAATTGTTTAATATTTTTAATTTATTTAATTTTACATTTCTACAATTTAATTAATTATTAGCTTTTCATCAACTCACAAACTTCCTGCAGATTCAGGAGAGTTTTGTTTTATTCTCATCTGACAGGGTCAGTTCAGTTAAATCAATAATATTACTGAATATTAAGTGTTTTTTAACACACACACACACACACACACACACCTGTGGGCATCCAGTGGCAGTGTAAGGACAGTACGGGATGCACTGCACCGTGAGGTTAGGCCAACACTGGCACATCTGACACTGACCGCCTTTCCAGCGCTCTCCCACCGCATGTGTGTGTCCATGATATTCACACTCACTGCACGGCTCTGTCTGACAGCTGAGAACAAACAAACCGCATGAAAAATATCATAAACATCCACTAAAGCACTGCACTAGAAATGCCAGGGTCATGGGTTCGATTTCCAGGGAAAGCTTGTATTAATCAAATGTATAATGCATTTATGCAATGCATGTAGTTTTTGGACACAAGCATCTGCTGAATGCATTAATGTGACTAATCAAAACATCTGCTAAAGCAAAAAGGCAGATGTGTGTTTTACATTTCCCAGATCTTCAGGATGCTTTGCAACATATTAATACTAACCGTCGTGCTTTCCGGTAAATTCCTCGGCATTGTCGGCCGTTTCCGTGTTTTAAGGGGTTATTCGGGCTGCGGAAAGACCACTGGACACTCTGAACTCCACACGGACCCAAACACTCGCCCCACTGAGACCAGGACGACCAGCCACAGTGAACTGATGAAAACACACATGTGCAGTGATTAAAAACCTTGCAGGACACACTTTAACAAGCAACAGCAAGAAAATCATAACATTTAAGCAATAGCAAGTACCAAATCATGGCTTTGCTGGTTTGTGATGTAAACTCAAATTTACTGACTATTTAAAAAAATAATAATGTTTTGTGTCTCATCCCAATTTTCTGTTTCAACAGGAAAACAACAGAACATAAAACTGCATTTGTTAAATAAGGGTTTCTAAAATGGGGTTCGTAAGAAATCTGTAAGGCGTTTGTGAGTTCATGAAAAGCTAATAATTCATTAAACTGTAAAAAAAAAAAAACATTTAAATAAAACTCTTAATAAAAAATACATAACATTTTATTTGTTTACCAGCATGTAATTTGAACATTAACCAACATCAGAGAACCGTGAACATGCAAAATTGTTGTTAAATTATTTCAATATTAATTTCTTGATCATAAATAAAATTATTTTTCTAAATCATAAATCAAAAAACGTACATCCATCAATTAAAAACAATTTAAATTAAAATCACCATCAATTAAAAACAAATTAACAAGTATTAGCATAATGTATACATAGGAATTACAATCAAAAATTAGTGATTTTTTGCACAGGGCATATGGGTTGATTAAATTTTTTTTTATTGAAATAATAAAAAATTACAATTCATTACTTTAATATAAAATACACTGAAATAAAACACTTTCAACCAATCAAATAAAACACTAAAAATTATGAAGTATTTTATTTGTGTACCTGCATGTCATGTGACCATTAACTGACATCAGAGAAGCATGAACGTGTGAATGTTTTATTAAATGAGTGTGAGTGAATGTGTGTGTGTTCTTGTTTATCCTACATTGCGGGGACCAAAGGATAGTTCAACTTGAAATTTTTTACATTGTGGGGAAAAAATTATTGAAAATACTAAATGGTCTTTATCTGAAAGTGTAACAAGGCAAACAGGTTTTCTGTAAAGGGTAGGTTTAGGGGATATCGTTTGCTCAGTATAAAGAATAGACATCTATGGAAAGTCCCAACAATTCACAGAAACCTAACATAGTGTGTGTTTATTTGAGTGTGTGTGTTTACCTGAGCACTCTGGGTTGGTGTGACAGCGCTGGGCTCGTCCTCGCTCACACACACAGATGTCACAACCCACTTTGACCTGCTGACCGGGCCAGTATCGAACCCCAGACACCTCACACACACACTCCTCCGGCCGAACACACTGCTGCTCGTGATTCATGACCGTCCCATCAGGACACCAGCAGCCTGACACGAAACAACAGAACCAGTGAGGAAACAGACAACCACGAATATACAGGACAGTAAAACAATCTTTATATTACCACAGCATTGGCATTTATGAATGGCCATCAGTGACATTAAAGAAGCTGAGAGGTAAAGCATTGTTAACGGCTCACCTGTGAAACACCTGGAGTTGTGGTCACATGTTGTTGCCCCGGATATGTGAGCGCAGGTCAAAGGGCACGGCGCACAGCTATGTCTGACGAGGCCCACGGGACAAGAGACGTTAGCGCAGCCGTCCTGAGGACATGGCTCTGAAAAACACATCTGTGTTCAGCTGGGAAACATTGAGTGCTTCATCATGGAGCTCATTTAACAAAAAAAGAGCAGATGAACCGACCTGCACTGCTCTATACATCACTATAAACTGAGTTTAAACATACACTGCTGATACAGAAACCACAAGGGCTTTAGCTCAGCAGTTACTGTCTGTAACTGGTGAATATAAATAAAATATTGTTTGGTAAATGGTCTGAAATATAATACCCTTGATTCTAAATACTCTGTGTCATTACCTGAATGATCCATGACTGTTTTTTGTGTTTTGTGATGTTATTGTATTAATATTTTTAATTTAAAAAAATTTTTTAGTTAATGTTTTAATGTGTTAGTATTTATTAATTGTAATAATTTTTTTTATGTCCATATAGTTGGTATTATTTTTTATTTTATTTTTGTTTTTCATCAATTTATTCAGCTTATTTTATTACATCAATTTAAAAATGAGAATTATAATAAAAATAATTAAAAAAAATTTTTTAGTTTACATAACCCAGATTTTTATATATATAATGTGTTTTTTTTTTTTTAAATGTACAATTATTCTAACATCCCCTGTTGAAACTGACACTACTTAGACCAGATTGGACGAGCTCCAAAATGATTTTAGATGGATAAAAAATGGTTATGGGTATAACTGGAGGTAGACTGGTAACCAGTGAAGATTTAAACTAGAGCCCAGCTGAAGCGGTTCATCTGCTGGAGGTTGTTTGTTCTGGTTCTTACTGATGTCAGTAGTCAGGTTAGTTTCTCCAGGTAGTTCTGCACAGGTTCTGCCTCCGTTCTGTGGTGGGAAACACTCTCTCTGACGGACTTCAACAGCGCCACAACCTTTACTGCAGTTCGACCACGTGACCCACGGCAGCCAGTAGCCATCGACTGTCAGACAGAACCAAAAACTCAACATCTGACACCAGAACGTTCAGACATCAGGTATGTATTTACATGGGGTAATATATTGTACCGGGGCAGGCGGTGGAGTAGCACTGCTGTCGCTGTGTTTTCTCTCCTCTGCAGTGTCCGTCTGAGTCCTCCAGGCTGCAGCGTCTCTGTCGGCTCATGGTTCCTGATCCACAGCTTCGGCTGCAGGGGCTCCAGGAGCTCCAGGGACCCCAGACACCACAGCCCGTCTCATCTGAGGCGTCTGCGGGACAGTCTGCTGCACCGTTACACAACTAAACAACACAAGGACAGACAGACCACACTGCCTCAACCACATCATGAATGTCTAAAAAACAAGGTGGTATTCTCGATGTATAAACACAAATAAACACATCAATATTAATTTCACGCAGATCAGTGTACCGCGTTGAAGGGCACACAGGAGCCATCAGCACAGGTGAACTCCAGACAAACGCGACTGGCGTTTCCCTCACTAGGTGGCGCTGTGGTGGGACTGACTTTATCTGGAGAAAGAGAATTATAGAAATTATACATTATTACATAGATATATAATAATTATCACAGTTCTCACAGCAGAACTGTTGTGTGTCTCCAAATAATTCGTTTCTGAATGAATCCACGTTCTGAACGAATCAAGAGAACCAATGATTCAATGGGCTATTCATAAAGAGAGCCATTTACTTCATTCCTGAATGAATCAGCAGTTTGAACGAATCAAATGAATGAATGAATGCCTCAATGACTTATTTATTAAGACATTTACCACCACCTACTGGCAATTTTAGTTTCTTATTTTAGAGTATCCTTTCATTAAAAAAAAAAAATCGTATTTCCATATTAATAAAAATCT